TAATGAAAATTTATTCACTTATAAAAAACTACGTAATCGCTGTAGTAAGATGTGTCGTGATGCTAAGAGGAGACATATCTATGATGAGGTTGAAAATTCTCATTCCGCTCAGATGTGGAAATTTCTTAGAACTCTGGGTATAGGCAAATCATATAATGATCCTAATATCTCGTTTGATTTGACTGCACTCAACCGGCACTTTTCTGAGCCTCCGATTTCTATTGATGACTCTATTAAGTCTGTGACACTTAATCTTCTCTCCAATATTCCTAAGCCGCTGTGTTCTCCTTTTAATTTCAGTAAAGTTACTGATGGTGAAATAAAAAAATGCCTTTTATCTATTTCCACTAAAGCTATTGGCTATGACAATCTTTGTATACAAATGATTAAACCTATCACTAATGAACTTGTCCCTATTATTACTCACATTATCTCTTCGTCGCTTGAGACGAGCTCCTTTCCAACTTGCTGGAAAAAGGCATTCATCATTCCCCTTCCAAAAACTTCTAATCCTACATCTTTATCCCAATTTCGCCCTATTTCTATTCTTCCGATCTTATCTAAAGTACTAGAAAATATAGTTCAGAGGCAACTATCTCATTTCCTAACTGTTCACAGCCTGCTGTGCCCTTTTCAATCTGGTTTTCGTCCAGGCCATAGCACAGTCAGCGCTCTGATTAAAGTGTCTGATGACATTCGCTGGGCCATGGACAAAAAATTTCTCACTGTTCTAACATTATTGGACTTCAGCAGTGCATTTAATTCCGTTGATTATGACATACTTCTTGGTATTCTTTCGTCCTTAAACATTTCACCATCGGTAATCTCTTGGTTTAATTCTTACCTTAGGGGTCGCTCGCAGTGTGTACGCCATGAGGAGGATTTCTCCGAGTGGTGTGATCTTACGGCGGGTGTTCCTCAGGGTGGTGTTCTTTCCCCACTTCTCTTCTCTATTTTATCAACGCTCTCACTACTGTTCTCACCTCTCATTATCATCTCTATACTGACGACTTGCAATTATACCGTCATTTCAAAGTCCAAGATATAGATGAGGCTATTAATAAGCTGAATGCTGACTTAAGTAGCATAAGCAGTTGGGCGAAATCGTTTGGTCTTCTCGTTAATCCTGCTAAATCCCAAGTAATGATTATCGGCAGCTCATATATGCTTAATTTATTAGATCGTTCGAAGATCCCTGCAGTAACGTATGATAATACTCAAATTCCATATACAGAGACTGCTAAGAACTTAGGTGTTATTTTTGATAATAATTTGTCTTGGGTTGCTCATATTAATATGATTAGCAGAAAAGTGAACTATTCTTTTCAATCTCTCAAGCGCCTCCAGATGTTTTTACCGGTAAAAACTAAGATAACCTTAGCTCAAGCACTTCTTCTTCCTCTCATTGACTACGCTGATGTTAGTTTTTTGGATGCTTCAGAGGAGCTGTTGAACAAACTGGAACGTGTTCAAAATTTGTGTATACGTTTTATTTTTGGTCTTCGTAAGTTTGATCATGTTTCTGAGTACAGGGCTCAATTAAAATGGCTTCCTATCCGTAGACGTCGAGACTTACATGTGTTATCATTTCTTTACTTTCTACTCTTTAATCCTCTTGCACCTCCATATCTCCGCGAGCGTTTTGAGTATCTTGTACCTCATGAAACTCAGTGCCGGACCACTAAACAGCTGCTTCTCAGAACTCCTTCTCATTTCACAAGCCGATGTGGTGGATCCTTTACTGTAAGGGCGGTCAAGCTATGGAACTCACTTCCACATGACATACGTGCTAGCTCTTCTCTTGATACATTTCGGAGCAGAGTAAAGAAATATTATCTATCAACTTAGAATTACAAATATTTATATATGTTATGTATTTATATGTATAATTGTATATATATGTTTTTATATTTGTGTACATGTATGTATATGTGTATGTATGTGTATATATATATATGTATGTGTGTGTGTATGTGTATATGTGTATGTGTTTATTATCTTTATTAGTATATATGTATGTAAATCAATAGAAATAAGAAAATAAATTATACTTATATTTTATACACTTATATGTTAATTGTCAACTGTAACTTTAGCCAATTTCTATTAAGTAGTGTTAAGTTAAATATTAAGTACGCACGCTGCTACCTACTTGCTTTATATGTAAAACTATTTCGCTTTCCCAATAGGTTTGCTGGAAGAAAACTCTTACTAGGGTTAAGCTCGCCTTTGTACATTTTATGTGAATATTTAATAATTGTTACCAACTTAGTGTGTACAATAAAGAATAAAGAAAGAATAAAGAATAAAGAAAATCTTAGATATAAGTGGCTTAGAAGCTCCCAATTTAAATACTCTTTGTGAAATTTATTGTTAAGATACTTTACTGTATAATTGTTTTAATCATAAGAAAATATGTGCGTTAAAATGTTTTATGTATTAAGAAATGGTGTTTTGAAAACAAAATGTTTATTTGATTTCCAATAAAATATATGTAAATAAACACATCATCTTTTAATTTAAACTATCCTTGTGTTTGAGAAGAAAAAAAAATAGTTTCAGACCGTTAACAATGAGTACTTATTATTAAAGTAACTGTTTTTTTTTGTACCACCATGCATTTTTAACGATGAAATAGATTAGCCTTCATATTTTGTTGTTATATTATTGAACCATTTGTATTTGAGATTCCGAATGAAACGGTATTAGAAATGGAGCAAAGATAAAAAAAGCGGATCGAGAATTAGACTAAATATTTAGACCTCTAATGGAGGGAATTGGGGCCTTCAGCGGCATGTAGCTCGAGCGAAGCGAGGGCTAGTGACGCAAAAGCCCCAATCCTCACCTACTGATATGTTGACAGTTTGACCTACGTAGGTTCCATATCTGAAAAAATAGCTAATACTCTTCGACAGAGTGGCGTTTACGTGGCATTCAAAACAAACAATTCACTTAGGAATATCTGAAATTATAAAGATAAGTTAGATAACAGTCTATAGTCTGGTGTTTATAAACTTGTTTGTGACGAATGCCAAGCCGTTTACGTGGGTCAGACTGGTCGCAACTTCAAAAAAGGTTATAAAGAGCATTTAGCCGCGTACAGGAATTGTAATCCCAATAAATCACATTTTGCTAAACATCTCTTAGACACTGGACACAGCCTAGCCAATGACTACTCCTTTAAAGTCTTACATACTTGTAACAAAGGGTTACGACTGTGTATGCTAGAATAGTTAGCGATATTAAAAAGTAATAATAGTAACGTTGCACTGCTGAATTAACAAACAAATGTTTCCAACTCGCCTCTCTTAAACATGTTTAACCCTGCTCCTTGATGATATACAGCCTCGCAACACGGTCGTTTATCACTCTCACGGTGCGGTGGTCAGCGTTTGGTTGCGTAGTTGTAGAGTAGGTGGACATTTCGCAGCAGTTTGTTATTAATTTCACAGCAAGTATCGGCATACTTCAGGTGGTGATTGATCGCATGACGTAATCGCTCGCTACGTAATTGGTGCGCGGTTGTGTCAGCAAGTAGTATAAATAGCAGTAGTTTCGGCTCGCCGCTCACTTAGCGGCCAGCCTCCGCAGAGTCTATTCCACCTGAGGATGCCTCGTGTGGAGGCGCAAAACGTGTCTTATTTTCGAGAGTGGTGTGTCGTGGCTAGTGTGGTGGTGCTGGGGGTAGTAGTGCTGGGATTCACGGCGACGGGTATAGTGCGCGCGATTAAGGAAGGGTGGGAGGTTCCCTTTAAACTAGGTAGGACACATCACTTACTTTCTTTTCGCAGAATTAAGCAAATTAGTTTGTAACAACCCCATCACTAATATCTTTATTATTTTATTTAATAACATTTATATTTCACTTTCTACCTGTTAACTAGGCCCAGCGGTGCGCATGCATTGTCGCAGTGCACCGCCTAGCAGGATCTCCATGTAATGTCGGAAGGTGTTAAATAAGAAGAAACGTGTTGTTGGTACTAGAACTTCAATTATACTGCTCAATAAACCTAAGAGTGCACGTATTTATTGCACTAAAAGGAGGATAGAGGCACATACCACTACAGGCGTGCTGTGCTGTTTAGCCCTATATGCAATGACCTCCAGACATGTCAGCAACACGTAGGCCACCGTTTCTTCCTCCCACATACATGCCCTGCACAGGGGACTATCTGTAATACATATAGTAAATAAATGTTTGTTAAAAGAGCCACTTGCTAATATTCTGATCTTTGGCTTATTCAATCTCATTAGAGCCTTGGTTAAACGACTGTTTATTTCATGCAGGACTTCTGTAGCTTCTCTTCAATGTAAATATCTTATGTGTAATTTTGTATTAAATACTGTAAATAAAGTAGTATAAGTAAGGAAATTCCAGAGATTTAATGTGTTGAGTCTGATCGCAGCTAAGTCGCTTCTTTCTGTATCTGTAGGTAAAGCGAGGTTTACTCCAGCATAACTATTACACAGGATAAATGTTTTGGAAAAGTGTGTGGTCACAGTAAAAAACGAATTTTTAAATCTGAGGATACACTCACATCCTTAATTTATCAGTTTGTTATTTTCTTATTCATTAACAGAAAAAAAATTGTGTATCTTATGATGTCATGATTTTTCATGATGATTATTATGCTATCCTAAATCAAAATTGATCTGTAAAATTACTGTGTGATCAATAAATGTTATTTATAATCTATACTAAATGAAAAAAAAAAATATTTCTTTTTCTGATTCATACGTTCTGCACTCAGGTTAACGGTTTCTTGGCTAAACAATTCTAAGCCGATAACTAGCTAATAAAATTAATATTAATTTATAATAGCATGACGGTTTGCTAGAACCGTGAGTGTAAACAAAGGAAATTAATGCATTTTTTAATAATCTGAGGCGGAGTAAGCAAATTAATATTTATCAATAAAATTAATCCAAAATTAAACATTTTAGGAATGATCGAAACTAAATTGAAAATATTAATCGTCACGAATATTTTACTACAGAAAATGTTAACAGAGACTTTACCACTGAACCAGCGACTCCGTGCAATGAAAAATATAAGTGGACCACAAACATCATTTTTATTTGACCGCATAAAGGAAAAATTTGAAAGAGCAACTGGAAAGTCTGTCCACAAAGGTGAGTCTTCAAAAAATCAAAATAAGCACTTAAGTTGCAAATTCGGTTGCAAAGTAATATTGGTTATGATACTTCTTGTAATCCTGTTACAGAAAATGTGATTAATGAACTCAATGTGTTACCGACATTTTCCTGGTTCTCTATAGCTACCTCGGGTACTCGTATTACTACGAGTACAGTTGCACCTCAAGTAACAAAAGCAACGAATGGTACTGAAAAAATTAAACCACAGTGCACGGACCTTGCTAAATGTCGCGTATATCTATGGGAAAAGTGACTTTTACCTTTTTAATACACAATTAACAAATAATTTGGTTTTTTTTTTATAGGATGGGGTGACAAACGAGCACACAGTCCACTTGATGGTAAGTGGTTGGTGTGACCCATAGACATCTACATTTATCCTCAATAAAAGATCAAAGTGCAGATGCGTTGCCACCCGTGAGGACTAAGATGTAATGCCTCTCTTCCAGTAAAATGGGTCTCCGGTTCTCTACACTCACCATACGAAACACAGCAGCATTAGGCTGCTATTTTACGGTATTCTGTGAGAGCGTGGTCCTTCCCCGGTCGAGCCGACCCATTTGTGCCACAACTATACTACCAATATAGCTGCAGCATTGCTCTACTACGTATAAAATAATTGGTGTAAAAATAATAACAAATTTTAATCCGAAGATACATTCAGCTTTATTCCTGTTCTTCATCACATTTTAGCCAACGCTTGACTACTATCCCACTTCATGGTAAGTGATGATGTAACTGAAGATGGTAATATTCAATGCTTTTACTTAGCTATAGGCTATTCACTCTTCTTATGACATATTTTAACAGGCTGAATATAAATGTTAATTTGCTGATTTCGTTTTCTTTTATTTATAATAAAGGTGACAAACGAGCAAACAGTCCTCCTGATGGTAAGTGCTATGGTTCATAGATATCTACATTATTATCTTTATCATAGCAGACCTATGTGTCATGAGCTATAAAATATAATTATCGATTAACATCCGAAGTATATTGTAACTTCAAGACCCCATTGCTGCCAAACCATCGTGTGTTATATAATTGGTAATAGAAATAATAAAAACATACTTCAAGCCGCCGATGAAGATTAGTCAGTTTTTACCATCAGTCAAGTGTAATGTCCCTCTGCAAGATGCAGGAGTATACCAGTTTGATTGTGAATGTGGTCTCTCTTATATAGGATAAACTAAAAGATCCATAAAAACCCGCGTTAAAGATGGTCTCTCTTATATAGGATAAACTAAAAGATCCATAAAAACCCGCGTTAAAGATCACATAGCTGATGTGAAGAATCGACGCTCCGGGAAGTCTGCAGTCTGTGAACACGTACAGAATCGCCGCCGACACTACATTAAAATTGATAAACCCCAAATCTTCGCTAAAGAACACCGATTCCTTCCAAGGATGATTCGCGAGGCTATTGAAATCAAAAAACATCCTGATTTCAATAGAGAAGATGGCTGGGTGCTGCCATCTGCTTGGGATCCCATAATTAATAAAATTAAATTCCAAGCCAAGCATACAACTGTAGGACTTCAAGATACTGTAAGTTCATACTGCGTAGATCGGAACGAAAAGAAAAAAATTTTTTATCTGGACGTAGCCGTGGTTAACTATGACATTGGGACGTCATACACTTCAGTCACCCCCGTGAGTATGGGTGCAGTAAAGTGCTCGAACCGTCGGGAATGTAAAATCTATCTATATCTATACATATAATAAAAATGTAAATAGCAGATGTCTGTACATTTTATATTTTTGTAATAAAAGTGATTGAGAGATACTAAAAATAAGTAATTAAATACATTTCTACCGTTTTTAGAATTGTCTGTCTGTCTCTTTGTTTGTTAACGTATCACATATAAAGTACTAATTTATATCATGAGAATCGTTAAGGAAATTATAAAGTGTATCTTTAGGTTACATTTAGTCTTTATTTCATTAAAATCAGTTCATTCCATCAAAAGTTATGATAAATATTCTGAAGTATGACTACGAGGTATATGTACGAATTTGTTCAATGTAGCGTAGCGTTGATTGCGTCATCAAGTGCATCATATTATAAATCATAATTAAATGATGTTCTATAATGATATAATTATATCTAAAATGCAGTAAACAAAATGTTAAAGAAAAATAACGTAATAAGTATATACAAAGATATATTAATCTTATTATCTAGCTCTAAAGTACAACAGTTAACCAATTTCATCGATAGATGGCGGTGTAATACTAAAAGGAAGATTGTGGTTTTTTCCTGTAGATGAGTTTTCATATTTGCTGCTAATCTTTATATTAATCGTTGCCCTACTGCGTGTTGACAAACTCAATTATTCTTTACCGCCGAGTAATCTAATCTAATTGGTAAATAAAATTTTAAGAGCTATTAACAATTTCGTTCGTTTCGGCTAGGATCAAATTTTCTTTTTTGTTTACTATGCACGCACTGATTTATAAGTCTTTTTATGTTTTATATAATGTATCAATTGCGTCAATTAATCTCTTCTATTTTTAGAATTGATGTTAACAGCGCCATCTCTCTTTAAATCTATACATATAATAAACATGGTGATAACATGCTGTGTCTGTTTATGTACATTGTATAGTAGGTTTGTTTGTGACTAAAATCATTATGGGGACTGAAAATCATTAAATAAGTACATTTTTATATCTTTTAGAATTGTCTGTCTGTCAGTTTGTCAGTCTGTCAGTCTGTCGGTCTGTCTGTTTGATTATGAACGGATAACGTTTTGAGTAAACATCTTTTTTGCAAAGAAGTCGTTAAAAAAATCATAAAGCTTATATTCGAGTTCATTTTTAATCTTTGTTTTATTAAAATTGTTTAATTCTATCGTAAGTTATGATTCTTATTTTGAAATCTAGGTTCAAATCTGTTTAAAGGCGCCATAAAACTCAGAAATAATAATAAAAAGATTCGTGTGTAAAAAAAAACGTTCTATTATAATATACTTTAAATACAGTAAACAAAAAATATGTTTTTCTTAAATTAAAAAAAGGATGTTTTCTCACATAGAACGTAATAGATCGGGTTGTATAAATTACAACTTTTTCTGAATTGCGGTGGCGCCCCTTTTTCCTAAAGGGGGTCGCTTCCGATTCGGCAGGAAGGCCATAATGGCCAACGCCAGCAAAAGAAAAAAAAAAGAATTGCGGTGTTAAGATTTTTCGCTTTTTTTTAATCGTATTGAGACTCACTGAAGAAATTTGTACCCATGAGTACGATGAAGTTGAAGGAGCCGTGTAGGCTAACAGCACAAACATCACCAGAAACCAGAAAAGAAACACGCCCACCCAAGCTATGCAACGAAACTCGAATAAAAACTAACAAAATTGCAACAAAATATCGTGATATTGTTTTTATACCCAGAATCCCTTAAATCCCTAATTACTTTCCTTTCAGTTTTAAGTGTGTTCAGTTTCCAGTCAGCGTGTGTTATGCGACAACCGTAAATAAAGCGCAAGCTCAAACTTTACGTGTTCCAGGAGTGGACCTCAGTACTAACTGTTTTGCACATGGCTAACTCTATGTTGCTTTTTCCCACGTTAGTAGGCCCCATAACCTATTAGTGTACCTACGCCCCGGCCGTATACTTCTAACGTCGTTTACACAGAAACTCTATCATAAACGACTTAGAACTTTGAGGATAACGATTTATTTTGTTACCAATTATTGATACAGTAATGATATAAATCGTTTAATATTCTCTAAAATAAACGTCAAATTCTTTAAGTAAAACCTATATACGCGGGCTGCGCCGCAGGCATAGCTAGTAAGTTAATATACGCGATAAAATCCGTAAAATTAGTTTTATTTAATTACTTTAACTCACTAAAGAGCTGTACTCGTCGCATCCGATCACATCACACTGAGTCGAAGTCAAAGTAAACAAAGGTACCAACCAACTCCTATCCGTATTAATGTTTGTCGAACCAACCGTTCTATAAAAGATGTACACAATCAGCCATAACAAATCAAATGAAATCTCCGGCTATAATAGTCGTAAGAAATCGGTCCGGCAATCTTTTTTTTTATAGGAGAGGGTGCAAACGAGCATGCGGCTTACCTGATTTTTTCACATGGTAGAGCCATGCTGCAGCTATATTAGTAGTATAGTTGTAGCATGAATGGGTCGGCTCGACCGGTGAAGGACCACACTCTCACAGAATACCAGCGTAAAATAGCAGCTTAATGCTGCTGTGTTTCGTATGGTGAGTGTAGAGAACCGGAGACCCTTTTTAGTGGAAAAGAGGCATTCCATCTTAGTCCTCACGGGTGACAACGCATCTGCATTTTGATTCACAAACGAGGATAAATGTAGATGTCTATGGGCCACAGCAACCACTTACCATCAGGTGGACTGTGTGCTCGTTTGTTATTATTTTTTGTTATTTTTTAATAATATCATTTTTAATAGCTTTAAAAAACGTTAATACAATAATGTGTGCTTTGAGCGGAGATGTTATTATTTTTTTTAAATGACTGATTATTGTAAGACTAAGTTTATAATTTTAAAAAGATCATAGTTTATTTAAAAGTTAATAAAAAGAAGAATAAACTTTTACACTGAACTATTTTTCATTTCATATCATTTACGATTCAATAAAATAATGCATAATGTTATACTTAAAAAAAGATGATTAGAGGGCTAAAGTTTACAATGTAATTTTATCAAACTTAATATAGCATACAGTTTCCTTTTCCATTCGCAAGTTTAAAATGCAACAATTAATGCGCACTCGCAAAAAATTATTGCATAATTGCGAATATGACACTTACGTAAATTTACTTTGGGCCAAAATAATATCTTTTTTATTTTTTCTAAGAGGAATTAGAGTAGCAAATGTGATTTATTTGCTTAGTGCGCTAAAATATTACCTTTTAATGTAGATCGTTATGTTAGGATTAACATTTTATAACTAAAAAACTTATTTAATCTAATCCCAGTCAAAGAGAACCATTTCAAAAATTAAAAAGAATAGGTTTTTTTGCTGTCTTGTAAAATCTGTGGTGGTGCATATTGGCAATTTTACCATAAAGGTGACGACACGTTCGGAAGTAAATAACAGAAACAGAAACAGAAACATTTTTATTCAATATAGATTATAAATAATACTTATTGAAAGTCACTCTTTTGTATGATTACCACTGGATCGAAAAAAAAACCTCTGTCCTGGGAAGAACCAGCAAGAAACCCAGCGGGACTTTTTTTTTTAAATAACAGCTTACAA